ATGTTTAAAAAAAAAAAAAATTTGCGGTGTTTTTACCCCCCAAAAAAAGAAAAAAAAAAAAAAAAAAAAAAAAAGTTTATATTGAATTAGAAACAACTATACTAATGTTTTAACTCAGGAATCAATATTTGTTGGAACAACCAGGAGGTTTTCAATGGGATTCAGTGCAGTGGGCTCTTAGTTTTTTCCAGAGCTGTATATCATATAGAAAAATCATCCTTATACTGTTTTAAAATGGTAATAAAGCTCTGAATGTTGGAGTTAATACTTTTCTCATTGTGGATGCCTCGTTTTCAAATGAATCCTGGATGTTTTATATCCACTCTGGTCCTCCTGTTTGTTTTTATATTCACAATCTTTGAACATTCCCACAAACATCAATCTATATTATTCTGATTCTTTATGACTCAACAACAGAAAGTGAGGCAGAAATTTACCAAGACATGTTAGTTTTCAATTTATTTTAAAAAGTCTGAATATACTGGCTGTACGTTTGTAATCTGACAGCCCAAAATAAAGTCAAGCTATTTGCCTCCAGGCTTCACTTTGCTGGGAAAAGTCGAGTTTAAAGTTTGGCAACGAGCCCTTTGGCGGACTTGCAGAAGGTCAGATAAGATGTCATAATTTCAGTTAACTTTCTACACTGATATGCTATCTCAGCTGCAGCTAACCAACACTGCTCAATAAATAACAAACTCAATAAACTTTTAAATCTACGCAGGTATTCTTTTTTTTTTTTACTTAAATCGTTCTTTTAATCTCACTATGCCATTTTTTGTACCTTTACAATATTATTTTTCATATGTTTTAAATGTGTCCTCTCAGTTCAGCCTCCTGCTTCTTATATTTTATCTTTTGACATCCACAAGGCGAGTTATTGAGTTGTTTCTGAAAGCAGATGTTCAGATTTGAACAAAGAGGTAAGTAGCAACTTACAGAACAAGGAGCAAAAGAAGACAAATGAGAATGAGTCCTGCCTTTCCCTAAATATAGCCTCATGATGAGAGGAGATGAGCTGCAGCAGGTGAAGCAGTGCCAATCAGTCCTGCCCTGCAGCAACAGAAAGAGTCACACACACTTTGCATCTGCTCTCAGCACAACAGGAAAGCTGCAAGAGTCCATGGAACGACGGGAAGAGCCAAAACAGGAGAAAACTCCAAGAAAACCTGTTAGTGGCTGAAGAAGAATGGCTCAGATCAGTCAATCATGAAGTGCCTTACATCATAAAAATGCAAAAATACAGTCATAGGAAACACAGTCAACAACTGGAACGTAACATCAGAATATTTATCAACGTTTAATTTGTAATGTTTCAAAGAAAAGGTGTGTTTTAAGTCTGGATTTAAAGGAACTCTGTTTCAGCTGTTTTGTCGTTTTCAGGAAGTTTGTTCCAGATTTGTGGTGCATAGAAATTGAATGCTGAATACTGCTTCTCCGTGATTGGTTCAAGCAATATTCATGTATTAGAACGGCCCAGTCAAAGTCCCAACTGAGAATCTGTGGCGATACTGAAAAATTTATGGTCCTACATCCAGTCTGATCGAGTTTAAGTTGCTTCACAAGCTGAGGAATATTCATTCCTTTTCCTCATACATCACAGTTAAGCTGTATTTTATTTTGAAACGTCTCA